AGAGAGAGAGAGAGAATACGTATGATTAAAGATAAGCTTTCCTTAAATATATTATACTATTACAATATGTTATGTCTAAATTTTGTAAAACAAATGTACATTAAATTTATAAAACACTTTTAAAAATTATAGTTTAATTATTATATGTCATTTCATCATAAATTTCATAGTTAAACAATAAATAATAAAATCCTTTAAAAATTGAGAAAATTTCGTAATAAATAATTGTTTTATTAGTATATATTTTTATTAAGTATTTATTACATACATTCATTACATTAGTTTCTTATATTGTATTTGAATTTATTATCATAAAATTTGTTTTATAATTAAAAAAATGAAAGACCTCTTCAATTTTACTTCCAGTTATATATAATGTTAATAGTGACATATCTAGCGCATGTAAAATTCTATTCGTTTGTTTATATTACATTAATAAAACATATTCAGTAAGATAAATAGCCAGATCAGTTAATTGCTTTGTCAAATAAAGCAAAATTGTTATCAGTCGATGCAAATGTTTCACTGATAATACATTGATAACTGCCCGTTGGCAGTTTGTAATCGGGAAGAGTCGCGACGAATATGCAAGGGAATTCTCTACAGCAAACTGAAATTTATCGTCGTGTTTAAATATAACAAGTCGACATTACGATCGTGATAATATCTTGAATCGATGTATGCACTTTCGATCGATCCACTCCAGAATTCAGGATGACGCGACGCAAGCGCACCGGCCAGACGTACCAGCCGTATTGGTATGGCCGTGTGTCAATGTGCGTCATATGTTGCCCTCGGTCGATTTAAATTTCAAATCGACGCTAAAAAGCGATCTGAGAGAGTCGATACGCATCGATCAGTCATCGAACCCGAGGTAAGCCTTCCGGCTGCCAATGCCGCGAACAATACGCAATCACGTGTACGGTGAAATTGGCGTTTCTCTGCGAGTTACTCGATCATACGATTTTTCGTACATACAATACATTTTCTACCAACAAATGTTCTCATTAAAAGAAAAAGAGCAAGAAAAATTATTTAAAAAATTACTAAGAGATATACGTAGGAAATAGTTAGTAATTGTTTAAAATAAATCACTAAAATGTTTTTTTCTACAAATATTATTCAATATTTGTTAGATAAGAGCAGAGACGTTACTCTTGTTTATCTTCCAATATAATCCATTATGGTATGACTGGTATGGCCTTTTGGAAAATGGATCGTACATATTTTATGTCTTTAGCCATTCTCACACTGAAACGTCCAATTTTGTAATGCTACCGAGTCGTTGTACCGTTGACAGAATAGCGTCGTCTAAGAAAAGAAGTTGTTAAAATTGCACGACTTACCGATGTGTCGAGCGCCAGAAGAATCGAGCGTAAATTCTGAAACACAAAAGGAGAGAAACTTTTAGATACCGTAAGGAAAGAGAAGAAGTGGCGGCCTCTCCGCACCAATCGTTAATCTTCCATGAGGGAAACATTCGTCCCCGACTCGCGAGTGTTCGAAACTTGAGACCAGCTTCCGCCAACCCTCTGGTACACGTACAAGGCCGGGTCTCCGTCTCCGATGTACCCGGCATTTATCGTTTGAAGAAGACGAATACGATTCAGTCGAGAAATTCTCGTCGAAGCTACAGCACTCGAAATGCTGGATATGTTGAAAGCCTCAAAGCCTCGGAGGAGGACAAATCCCATCTTATTTGGAAATATTTGTGTACGTGCAACAAAGAAAGAAAGAAAGGAGAATAAATAGGAAAGAAATGTTGAAATATCGATCGTGAGCATTGTGTCTTTAATCTGACACGTTATACGATGAAAAATGAAAAATGAAAATCTGACTGTGACATTAACGTAACAGTAACGTAAAAGCTAAATGCATGCGTATCAGAGAATCAAATATCTTAGATTGTAGGAAATTCTGCAGATTGTGTTTTATTTCTAAAGGAACAATGCGTATTGTTAAGAGCGTCGATAATAGCCCCATCATGGCTTGAGGAGGCTTGAGGATTCGCTGTGTTTTCACAGCTCGACAGATTTCGTCGCCATGTGAAAACGACAGATTTTCCTTCGTCATTGATCACCACAGCCAGCCAAATCGGAAGACAAACGAGGCAAACACGGCCGGCAGATCCGGCTGTCGCAGCCACCCTGTTTCGAACGAAAGAGAGAACGAGAACACAGATTCCGTTCGCCCGCCGGCAATTACAGGCCACGGATTTGCATGAAAGTTGAAAAAAAAAAGCTTTTTTCCGTTGGGCGTTATCTCTCTTTTCATCTCTTTCTCTTTTCCTCTCGCGATACGCAATTTTCAGCTGTGACCGACGGCTACGGGTATTGGAATATGAAACAACCATTATTACTTGCAAAAATAATAAAAAAATTTTAAATAAAGAGTAACCAGTCTGACGGTTCAAGAAATTTGCGTAACAAATGCATGAAATTGTAGATGATTATTGTAATATTATCAATTGCTCGTTCGAAGTCTTTCAACCAATGCAATTTAATATCAGATTCAAGATGTTACAATTCGCTTTCAAGAAAATAAATTTTCTTTTTAGTAAAACCAAATTTTTTTATCATCTATACTCTGAAGTTAAAAAGAATCACAATCCGCATTACTTTCACAAACTATTAGGTATTTTATTTTGTCATGATCGTTTACTCTCTTAATATTTATACTGATATTTAATTTTTCATTAAAAAAGATAAATTTCACGAAATAAAAAAAATGTGTTAAAGTGCGAATCGGAAACGATGATCAATGGTATTGTAACATACACAGCGCCGCTAAAGAGCATGCTTTCGATACATTAGATCGCAAACAAAACGGGCACGGTTGAGTTGCGTTCCGGCAGAAGATAACAGGCGAAACGCGATTCACGAGAATTTACACCTTACCACCGCGCTTGCACGCTCGCACACATCATTAGGTCTACAAAGCGACGGCAGAGATTTTCCAAAATTAAAGCGCATTATCGGGAGCGCGCTCTTACGTATGAGCGGGCACGCGCGGGTTCGATTTCACGGATCCGTAACTTCGACATCGCGTAAAAGTGCCCGAAAACGTGCACAGGCTGGCACACATGCAGTCATCCAGGAAAATATCGCGGCGTTTCCGCGTTCCATCTTTTTCAAAGGGCTTTCCGGGTTCCGTATAAAAAAAAAAAAAAACTATGAATATACTATATATTGATGTATATATCTTCAATCTCCTCCGGATATATTTTCTTGATAAAAAGATTGGAAATGAATAAAGATGCCGTAAATTGTTAGTAAGAAAATTAAGTATCGATTGCTCAAAGTGAATAATAAAGATTTAATAAATGTTACCAACGTTATGTATACGTGCAGACAGTTGATTAGAATTATAAAAAGCTGACGGCGAATATTAAAATTTGATAAAGTCTAAATTTGCTCTCTTTATTTCGTCTTTTTATGTACAGTTAAATATAGTAAATATATTCTACGCGAGTAAAATTATCGTACATCGCTTGAAATTTAAATGAATGTGAGGAACTGAATTTTCCAATTCAATTGCAAATTACGAGAGACAGTCAATGTTAGTTACAGCGATTCAGTGTCAGTGTCAGTCACTGTAACTCAATGCCAATATCAATTACTGCAAAATCCAAGATAACGCTTTCGCCATTTCGACTAGTTGAATTACGTATAAGGCCTGACTTCATATCATCCTTGATAATTTTGTTAATTCGCATTAAATGTATTTATTCAAATTTTTTCTACTTGAGACAACTTTAAATCATTTCGTACTATATGACCATTTTAGTGCTATTATTTTTTCAGCTGGAGAATTTATACTTTCTGTTATTTAAAAAATCTTTTTCTATATAATTAAAAGAAAAACAAAATAATTTAAAAGTTATAAATAAAATTGTAGATCAGGTCGTTAAAAATATAAATAGCAAATAAAAATTTAAATAATGGATAAAATAATGGGTAAAATTGAATTCAACTATTTTCTTTCATTTGCAAGAAAAAGTAGTCAGAGTTTTTAGTTGCACGGATAGGGATTAACCCGCATACAGAACAAATTTACATGCTAACTTCGTTTTCTGCTGCTTTTGCAGATACAATGCGCTTTGTGTAGTGCAAAATAGAACTCTTGTACAGGTGCACAGTGTCACCCGAGACAAATTACAGTACATATAGTAAAACCTGTATTTAAACGTGCACGTGTACATACACACATATATATGGCGTAGTCCGTGATTTATTATATCACAATTGGGATAATATATTTCTTATTTGATAATATATTTCTTATTTATAATGGCGTAAAGTAGATACAAAGGAAAACAAATTCAATTTGTTGATGTTTTATACGAATTTTTATACGAACCATTCATTGTGACATTTAATTAATCCATGGGTGTAAGTAACTTCGGGCAATAAGAATCATCGTTATAATATCAGAGAATATTCCGCTCGAGATGAAGCTTGATTAAACTTGAGAGTGAATCCTTCGAGAACTATCTCTTTTCTCAGATATAATCCTAGTACAAGGTATTTAATTAGAAATATATATATAATGTGTGCGCGCGCGCGCGCGTGTGTGTGTGTGTGTGTGTGTATAGTCGTCGTCACGTATATATTCGTATAACCATGTCGCGTTTTTAGAGACTCAAGATTTCATTTTGCGCTCAAATTTTACATCCAAGCGGGTTATTAATTCACATACGGATCCATTAAACTTTATTGCTTAATACTTACGTCTCGTTCTCGGGAAATGAAACTATTAGACGGAAGTGTAATTTTACTTTAATTTTGCATATCAATGAGATACATTCAACGAATATTACGCTGTGAGAAAAATGTCGAGTTTGCGGCTGTCAAAATTGATAAAAGAGTCAATTGAGACCTGCCAAGTACTCTCTGTTCTAAAAGAAAATCGCCCGAATCGAAATGGATGTTCACCCCAACGGTATATCGGCTAACGTGTCTAGCCACTGTCACCTGTCGTCTCGACTTTTGATGTTTAGGAAAGATAAGGGACAACCCGCAGCAGCGCAATATTCCAAAATCGGATAAATTGGCGATAAATTGACACGTACAATATTTTCAAAGTGAAAATAGATTAATGTCAGATTCGTCGCGTCAAAATTTATTAAAATTTAACTTTTAATTCAATTACATTATTTCTTTTCACTAGAAAATTACATTATGGCTTCTAAATAAAATGAAAAACAGAGAAGATAAATTAATATCAGCAATTAAATGTTGTAAATATTATAAAATTATTAATAAATGCTATGAATATTTTTCTATAAATATTTAAAAATCTTATAATCCGTTACATAAAATTCGATTACATAAAAAATAATAAATGTAAATTTTATTATTTTATATAAATACTCTATTTTTCAAATTAAATTTAAATTGAAATTTTTAAATATTTTCCAATTATAAAACAACAGTGACGAACAATTTTTGTTGGTGATTGCGTGTGCAAAAGTTGAGATAACATGAATCGGCAAATACTAACGTTTGCAGCTGTGACATTTTTATCGGTTTTCTATTTATCAAGAAAATTGTGTTATATTCCTTGTAACTATATTTCTAGTGATACCATCATTTTAGCGTTTTAATTCCATAAGTTATAATAGCTGTACAATTTGACGGAGTCGCGTCTAGGCGTGTTATAATGAATATTGCATAAGGCAATTTAGTCATAAAGAATTCAGTGTATTATTTGACGTGGACCTCAGCGTCTAGAGTTACGTTCCAAATTTAAAATGTCTGTAATTAGTAACACTATTTTTCAAAGAAATACGATCGAATACGAGGCAAGCAGAATTGTTTGTACGACTTCCCCTCGAGATTGGGGGCTCGTATCGCTTTTTATAACATCCGGCTGGAAGCACATGAGTAAGGCAAATCGATGACGTACGAATTGACTCGCCGATAATTTAAATCACAAAAAATTCAAGTTAATTTTATCTAGGAAGGGGGAATGATTGAAAAACAAAGAATATACACGTTTCGAAATTGTAATGTTACCTCAAGATTACATAACAAATGTATGACAAATGTGTCAAGTCAGCTTAGTCAAAGATTATTTACAGTTGAAAAATTAATAAGTTAAAATAATTTTTTATTTTATTATTATAATTTTTATGTTGATAATAAAAAAAAATTTAATTCAATAATTAAAAGAAATGCGCATTTTAAATTACGTAATAACAAATCATAATTTGAACAGGTTGTGGTCGCTGTCAATGTAACCGTGTTTGAAATTTACGGGATGTGTCAGCATACGAGCATGAATGCTATGTCAATGAAACGCACGGCAATACTTCGCCCGGCTGGACATCTCATCAACCAAACTGTCATCGTGATGAAAGCCTTGTGTCCCGCTACGAATC